ATATGCGTATGTGTAAGTGGTTTAAAAATTCCTTTCTTTAAAAGTCTAATTTAATCTTAAAGTGCATTACTATATTTTTCAGTACCAATTAAAGTTTTGTGCCTTTGTACAATCAGTGGGATCAGGGCCGGCGGAATACCAGGCAGAGTGCTGAAAGACTGTGTAGAGGAGCTGAAAGATGTTTTCACAGACATCTTCAACACCTCCCTGGACCAAGCCATCGTCCAATCACTTTTCAAAGCTGCCACCATCATACCCATGCCGAAGAAATTATCACCATATGGCTTCAACGACTACCGTCACACCCATCATAATGAAGTGCTTCGAACGGCTAGTCATGTCACACGTAAAAAAAAAAGAAAAGTGGCCCAAAGCAGATGTCCCTCCCCCAGTATCCCCTCAGCCAGTTTGGTACCCAGCAGAGAGCCTTTAACAAAAGCTGCTTTGAGCAATTTGAATGGCTAGAGTACTCTATCACCAAGAACTCTACATTTTGCTTTTTGCGTCGGATTTATGGAAGGCAGAATATTCGCACCAGCAAGGATACTCCCTTCAGTAGCTCCGGCTTTTCAAATTGGAAAAGGGCTTTGGATACCTACCGTGAGCATGAGAAAAGTGCCTTCCACATGTCAAGCATGACTTGTTGGCAGAGCTTTAAAAGCACACAAAGTCATGGGGATGTGATTGAGCAGCTAAATACTGCAAGCGCAGCAGAAATAAAAGAGAGGCGGCAATACCTTAAGCGCATTGTGGTGTAACCACATTTTTAGGGAAGCAAGGCATCCCATTCCGTGGGCATGATGAGCAAGACACCAGTCATAATCCAGGCAACTTCCTCGAATGCATGCAACTCCTCAAAGAGTTTGACCCCTTTCTCCAAAAATATAAGCCTCCCTCTAATGCAGTTTACCTCTCCCATTCGACCCAAAATGAAATGATCACCTGCATTTCACAAGAAATAACAGAAAATATCACAAAACAAATTCAATCATCCAAAATGTACTCTGTGATGGCAGATGAAGCCAGAGACCGCCACACAGAGCAGCTGGCTGTCTGTGTCCGTTATGTCACACAACTTGGTACGCCAAAAGAGGCATTTCTTGGGCTACAGAAGCTAGACAGTTTTGACGCAAAGTCAATTGTAGATGGAATAGAGGCAGTGCTACAGTCTCACAATCTAAGTGACCTCATGTGTGTTGCACAAACGTATGATGGAGCAGCGGTGATGAGTGGACCAGTGGGGGGTGTTCAGGCCCGCTTCAGAGAGCGACACCCTGAAGCTGTGTATGTGCACTGTTATGCACATGAGCTCAACCTTGTTCTGTGCTACACTTGCAAGGCTATACCTGAAGCCACCACATTCTTCGATCTCCTTGAAAACATCTACACATTTTTCAGCAACTCTCTTGTCAACCAGAACAAGTTTATAGAAATCCAAAATCCACTGGGATTAAAACCATCTCAACTTGTGGAGCTCTCCACAACAAGATGGGCTTGCAAGGTGAAGTCTGTCAATGCTGTCTTGAATAACCTTCCTGCAATTCTGACATGTCTTTGCAACATGAAGACAGCCATGGCCAAAGGGATCCTGGCAAAGCTCTCAAAGCTAAAGACCATCTACCTGCTTGTGATGTTTGCTCCTTAGCATAACTGAAGGGCTTCATCGGTACCTGCAAGGGGAGAGTTTGGACCTGGGTAGAGCGG